AACCCAAGGACATGGGCAATGGTGGGGACTGGGGAGGAGGTGGGATGGGGTGGAATGGGTCATTGGGGAGATAAAGGGACATCTGTAATATTTTAAATAAAAATAAAAATTTTTTAAAAAAAAGGATACCCCACTTCACTCCTGCCTCCCACAGCACCTGATGCCTCTAATCCCAGAGCCTGCCCAGCTCCAGGGGACCGTCCTCCTGGCATTTGGATTTATCCTTCTTCCCATATGCTAAGTGGTTTCTAATTATACAATGCGGTTTCCATTTTGTCAGTGTGCTTCAGGATTGTAGATGCTTCCTGGTTTCATCAAATGTGGAGTTTGTTTCTGTTTTCAACTTTTTTGTTGTTTTGTACCATTTTTTAGATAAATGGCATGGGAATGGTTTGAAACTAAAAGTCCTCTGCCATTCACTCTTTAGCCTACTCCAGTCTGTCTTTTGCTCCCCACCACTCCACTGTTCTTATTAGATCATCAAAGTCCCCATTTTGCCAAATGCAATGGTCATTTTTCTCTCTGTCTCACTTGAACTCTGAGGTGCATTAAATATAGATGACTAGTAAAGCCATCTTAAAACACTGTTCTCTTAGCTTCACTGATACTAAATTGTCCTAGTTTTCCTTCTGTTCCAGGCAGCCCCTTCTCAGTTTTCTTTACTGGCTTCTCCTACTCTCTTCATTCCCAAAATATTGGTGTACCCTGGGTTCAATGTGAATTCCTCTTCTCTCATCTGTTATAGGTCCCCACCCTCATATTATCTCATCTAGTCCCATTGCTTCAAACGCCATCCAATACCAGCAACTCCCAAATCTTGATCTCTGCTAACTTTTCTCTTGAGTTCCAGATTTGTATATTCAACTACTCACTTGATATCTCCACTAAGATTTCTAACAGATACTCCCAAACTCATCCCTGCATTTCATTTGCTGTTTTCTCTGTGTGAAATGGTCTTCCAGTTCTTCAAATCACTGGTTGCCCATTATCCTTAAGATCTTCACTCAAGTGTCACTTCCTCTGAAGCTTCCCTGACCACCCTACCGAAAGTAAGCCCCTGCTCCAAGTCACTTTATTTTATTTCCTTCATAAAACCTGTCTGGAGTTGTTTTGTGTGCTTGCTTGTTTACTGTCTGTTCTCCATATTGACTACTATTACCTCTATAAGAATTGGACCTTGTTGATCTTGTCTTCTGCTGTATTCTAAGTATCTAGAAGAGTGCCTGGTATATTGTAGATACTCAATAAATTCTTGCCTAATTAGTTAATCTTATTAATAAAACATTAAAGTGTACTTTTCTCCTGTCAGACAGAAAGTTGTCAAATATGCTCTGATTGGCATGAATAACTTCTAAGAATCAAATTCACAAAATTAAAAGATTTTTTTTTTTAACAAAGGAATAGCTATACTCATTTTTACCTAAAAAACCATAGACCATCCTTAGACTTCTCTTGCCACATAGATTACCTTAAAGATGAAACATAGGCTTGTTTGTAAACAGAATTGTTAGTTGCTAACTATTGGGAAGAATTTTTTAAAATCTAAAAAAATCAATAGAAAAATTTATTAAAACACTATGTAAATTTTACATTGCCTTTATTTTCAGATAAATTTATTGTATGGCTGGGTCACATCATTGAACATCAAAGTTGTTTTCTGCCAGTATCTCTCTCTGATGGCCATATGCCAATAAGAGTAACCACAGAGTTAGTGTGAAAGTTTTTTGATAACCAGATCTTTTGTGGCTTTTTAAAAAATGAAAACATTGTTTTAAAAATATTTTACCAGTACTTTGAGTGTTAAATGGTTAGGATTTTGCTATGTCTCCTAAACTTAATAAGAGCAAATTTATTTACTGAGTCAATTAAATTTTTTGCTGATTTGTACAACTTAGTATTCTGCAACTTGGTAGGAGTTTTGGTTATCACCTAACACTGCTAAGATGAAGAAAAATAACCATCTGAAGTATTTTGGGTTATTGATTTCTGTGTTAAATATGTCCTTTAAATTTTTATTACATTTAAACAATCCAGTTGGACTTTTTTCTTTCAGATTTCTGGTATCTGCTACAACAGCAAAATATTGAAAGTTCATCAGGTGCTGTACATCCCTAGCTGGATGGCAAGGTTCTTTTCTTGGACACTTGAGCCCATCTTCTCATCATCAGAACCCACCACCGAAGCCAGAGTCGGGATGGGGGCCACAGTAGACATCCAGAGGCAGCAAAGAATGGAGCTGCTCGATCGGCAGCTGATGCTTTCACAGTTTGCACAAGCGAGGCGACAAAGACAGCAGCAGGTAAGCATAATAATAATCACTAAAATTTCAAAATACTCGCCCGGCCGGGCGTGGCTCAGCGGTTGAGCGTCGACCTAGGATCCAGGCGATCGGGGTTTCCATTCCTGGTCAGGGCACATGCCCAGGTTGCGGGCTCGATCANTATTGGGAAGAATTTTTTAAAATCTAAAAAAATCAATAGAAAAATTTATTAAAACACTATGTAAATTTTACATTGCCTTTATTTTCAGATAAATTTATTGTATGGCTGGGTCACATCATTGAACATCAAAGTTGTTTTCTGCCAGTATCTCTCTCTGATGGCCATATGCCAATAAGAGTAACCACAGAGTTAGTGTGAAAGTTTTTTGATAACCAGATCTTTTGTGGCTTTTTAAAAAATGAAAACATTGTTTTAAAAATATTTTACCAGTACTTTGAGTGTTAAATGGTTAGGATTTTGCTATGTCTCCTAAACTTAATAAGAGCAAATTTATTTACTGAGTCAATTAAATTTTTTGCTGATTTGTACAACTTAGTATTCTGCAACTTGGTAGGAGTTTTGGTTATCACCTAACACTGCTAAGATGAAGAAAAATAACCATCTGAAGTATTTTGGGTTATTGATTTCTGTGTTAAATATGTCCTTTAAATTTTTATTACATTTAAACAATCCAGTTGGACTTTTTTCTTTCAGATTTCTGGTATCTGCTACAACAGCAAAATATTGAAAGTTCATCAGGTGCTGTACATCCCTAGCTGGATGGCAAGGTTCTTTTCTTGGACACTTGAGCCCATCTTCTCATCATCAGAACCCACCACCGAAGCCAGAGTCGGGATGGGGGCCACAGTAGACATCCAGAGGCAGCAAAGAATGGAGCTGCTCGATCGGCAGCTGATGCTTTCACAGTTTGCACAAGCGAGGCGACAAAGACAGCAGCAGGTAAGCATAATAATAATCACTAAAATTTCAAAATACTCGCCCGGCCGGGCGTGGCTCAGCGGTTGAGCGTCGACCTAGGATCCAGGCGATCGGGGTTTCCATTCCTGGTCAGGGCACATGCCCAGGTTGCGGGCTCGATCAGTGACTCTCTCATCATTGATGTTTCTATCTCTCTCTCTCCCTCTCCTTTCCTCTCTCTGAAATCAATAAAGATATATTTTTAAAAATAAATTAATTAAATTAAATTAAATTTCAAAATACTCAGTGGCCTAAGTAAACATTTCCTCTGTGACTGTATGTATGGTAGGGACTACATTTTATTCCTGTGCATTGCAGTGTGGCTATTTGACAAGTTTTCTAATAGAATGTAGGTCTCTGGTAGTGCCTATTCTTAGGTGAGTGTTTTGTTTTGTTTTTTAAGGTAAAAAAGTAAATTGCAGCTGAAAGACTGGTCAAACTGGACACTCTTGTTCCTCTTCTATTAGATAAACATTATTTCTTAGAGAAACACCAACCTAGTTAACACGACATGGTATTTTATCTGTTCTTAAAATCTTGTAAAAGCCACAGTGTCTTCCTGTTAAAATGCTTATTATCATGTGCTCTGGAGTAAAGAGCAAATGTAAAACTTCTTGATTTTCTATGGTTGAAATGGAGAGACTGTGAAGGTAAGAAATTTTTCAAGGCAACAACCCATGAGTAAACCAAATAAATTATGTGTTTTCTTAGCCTTGTCATCAATTATCAGGAAATATTGAGCATTTGTCTGCAATAATGTGCTGTATCCACACTTCTCTTTCAGGGGTTACTATACAAAGTGAGGCAAAAGCAGGTTTACAGTTGTTCACATGAAAAGTAATACAATAATTAATAAATAATAATACAAGAATAAATGCTGTGCTTCACATATTCACAACTATAAACCTTCTTTTGCCCTACCCTGTATGTCAGGCTAATACCTCATGCTTGATCTTTCTTTGACACTTCTATGATCTGGTATACTGAGCTCTTTATTTCTTGTCTCCATCTTCTTTACCCTCTGGGGTGTGAGAGAGGATACTCTTCTCACTTACAATCTCCCTATCAATCTCCCTTACAATCTCCTGCCTTCACTAGGTGTGAGACGTAGGTTTGCAGAACTCACAGTTGTCTGAAGAAGTGAAATCAGTCGTGACATTCCTGGTGGGCCTCAGAGTTCATATCTGGGGTGGGAAGAAGGGAGCCCCTTATCAATAGGCTGAGTCTACAGGTGAAAGAAGTGAGGGTTATTCCCTACAGATGTATTTGAATTTGAGGTGCATCTGGAACATACAATAAAGATACCCATGATGTAGTTAAACATGGAGGACAGTCATCTCTCTTAGAGAGGTCAAAGCTGGAGATGTAGATCATGGAGTCAACTTTGTAGGCTTGAGAGACAAAAGCAAGGTGCTGGATGAGTTCTGTAAGAGAATTACATCCAAGATGAACATAGGCTATAGACTAGTCTTATATTTAGCAGAAGGTAGATCCTTCAAGGAAACAGGGAAGAATGAAAAGTATGAGAACTTGGAATGATCAATGTCTGAAAAACTGAGTAATGGTGAGTATAAATGTTTTTCAAATAGAATGAACCTAAAGCTATAAAGAAGAGAAAGAGGTAGTGTATGATTCTGAGATCTCTTGCTTAGATAACAAGATAGATCAGTGACAGCACCATTTCACCAACATCAGAAGAGCAGATTTGGGGGAAATATATGACTGAGCTACCTTTGGAATACCTGGGAGGAGCTTCCCCATTAGATAGCTATGGCTTTTGTGCTCATGAGCAAGGCAGAAAAGTGGCATTTCTCAGATTGGAGTCTCCAGGCAGAATTTTTATGCATGAAGTTTATCAAGAATGCTGTCAGGATCAGTATCTTTGTAGGAGGGGTGGTGAAGGACAGAGGTAGACTTTGAACAACAGTTACAAAAAAGGCCTGAGCTAACTTTCTGGAGAGCTGTGGAGTTGGGAGAGCCCTGACAGGTTGTCCCAAATTTAGATAGGAGCTGAAACTAAACCTCCACCAACCACTCATTGGTTGCAGATTGCAGACCTTGGACTGACTGGCTCTGCTCTGATGCACACCATCCACAGGGGGCATGTGCCTTGAGAAGTGTCAGGTGCTAGCACCCTTGGCAGCAGGAAGATTGAGCACTTCAGTTCTGAGGGAGGAGGGGGATCTGGATGGCAGACCACAGTATCCATGCATTGTGCTACTTGTATCTTCTTGGTTTACCTAAGTTCTTGCAGCAGCTCCTCCAAAATTCCAGTCACACTTTTTTCCTGGGAGAAGCCTTCAAGAGGAAGGTTAGTAGGATAAACTACATCCCCTTCTGCTGAAGCAGGTCTCACTGACCATGCTGATCGTTATCTCCCTCCTCTCCTGTTCATTCGAGAGCCCCCTTACTCTTTGCTGGAAGGCATAGTTGGTGAAAGTGACTCATACCCTCACCCTCTGTGGTTGGAGTCCCTGGTCACCAGGCCCTTCTCAGGCTGTGTCTGCTGCATTTGTCCATTTACTGTAAAAACTGAGCAAGGGAGTACCAAGAGATGCCCTAGTGGATCACCAGGGTGCCACACATAGTCTTCCCTCCCCCCTTTTGTACCCCAAGCCATACCTTTTCCTGATGATCAGGGTTAATTACTCCTGCCAAGATAATGACTTCTTTCCTTGCCTGCTGGTTTTTGGCACAAGAGCCCAAAACTGGTTAACAGCTATAACTTAAAATGTAATGGCATTCTTGCTTTTTCTCCTGATGGAAGAGTTCCCCTCCTGTGAGCCAAGCTCTGTAAACCCATGGAATTTAAAGTTGCAGGGATGAGAAGCCTAGATTCCCCAAACAAGTCACTGGGAGGGAGGGAAATCAGGGTCACTTCTCCTTCCACACCTTATTTACTCGATCTATGTGTTCTTGTTGGGCATATAGCAGGGTTTTAGGGTTTATACTGCATGCTAGAGCCTGAAGTGCCATCTTTCAGGATATCATCTCCAAGTTGGTATTTCACTGACACCTTCAACTAGCTGTCTCATTGGTCTGGCAAGCTGGCAGTTCCTTAGTCACATGGTATGTGAGAGGGTTCATGTATTCCACAGTCTTGCCAGTGCTGTGCCCACTTTGTTCTAAGTGGGCCTTGTGGTCTGATGTAATGTGATTTAGCACCCTGGTCGGTAAAGCAAGCATTCAGTACACCCACAAAGAGTGGTGCTGGGTCTCTTTGAGGGATGCTGGTGTATTGGGGCTCAGCATTGATCTCTATCCCTACCACCAAGGCTTCTCTGTTCATGTGCCAGCACTGGGGTGGCCGATGGCTGGCTGGTGTCCACCAGCTGAGTCATTCTGTCTCCCACTTCTGTGCTGGATGTCCATAGCAGACATTAACCAACCAAACAGATGTCACACTGCATGCCTATTCCTTTAGCTATGTCCATATGCCTTCTCCTCAGGTCTTTAGCTATGTCCATATGCCTTCTCCACCTTTCAGTACCCTGAACTACCAACCAAGTTATTTACCACATCCAGTGAATCCATATATGTTATTACCTCAGGCTACTTCTCTTTCCACACAAAGTGGATGACCAAATTCACTGCCCAGGCTCTGCCCATCTGGAGGATTTCCCTTCATTGCTGTCTTTCAGGATCACCACTGAGTGGAGCTGTAGTGCGGTGAGCTCACAGTCCATTTTCAACTTTCACTTGTCTACTGAGCCAACCCACCTATGAACCCAATTTGGCCATTTTCCTCTCTGTCACTTGGTCATAGCGCCCCACCCCCCGTGCGGCAGGAGGTGGGAACTGAGAAAGAGGTTTTGGTGCAACAGAGGTGATAACGTGGTGGTCTGGCACACCTGCCTCTGCAGCTCACCTGTGCCCTCTGGCCCTGCTCATGCTGACCCCAGATACACCACCTCCATCTGAAGATGCATTTCTGTGGGTGCAGCTGACCTTAGAACTTCGTAGATCTCACACTTCTGACCACTTTATGCCCATGGTCAGGCACACCCTATCCCCAGGGTCTAGCAGCAGGTTTTCAAAAGTGTATCATTCTCTGCTATAT